CCGAAGATTACATATGAGTGGATTGTAGTACGCCCGGATACCTCGCGTTTGTATTCCTCTATTCGTCCAATCAAGAGGGGCACGATTACAGTGGTTCCGGGAACCTGTCAATTGGAAAGTGTCTGACTGGGGCATAACTTCTTGAATTGATAACCCAGTTTGTGTAAATTGCCTTGGGCCACATGTCACTTCTTATAGGGGGTGCCCTAGGTTCTCCACCCACAAAAAGACTAATAAACCATCTACTGTCAAGCCAGGAGTCAGTTATGCCCAGGCAATTAAACTTTTAACAAACTCAAGCAATGCTTTTGCCACCAATGTCTCTGCGGATGCGGGTAACACTACTAAGCAAATTGTACAAAATAATGTTGTTCCTATTCATGCTAATAAGAGTACCAGTACTTCTGCAAATGCTAAAAGCCAACATTTAGCTTCTGTAAACCCAAATTCTGTCAAAAAAAAAAAAAAGAAAAGAAAAAAAGAAAAAAATAGCCCAAATGACATATTCGAATTAATCAATGTTATGAAAGAAGTTGAAAATATATTTGGATGTAATATCAGCCAAATTATTTACATTTATAAAAGCAAACTACCCGAACTTTGCAAATGCCATAATATATTAGACAAAATTCAAGTATTGCATATGATACTTGAAGAAATTCACGGGCTAGCTAATAATGTTTAATTATGGATAATGCTCTTGTAATTGCAACATGGAACGCTAACAGGTTACTCCACAGACTAGACAAACTTCGTATCTTTGTAAATGAGCATTGCCCTGATATATTACTCCTACAAGAGCACAAGCTTAGTTCACATGTTACTTTTCAGATTGCAAACTATTGCCTCTACAGATATGACTGTGAGAGAACAGGTATCAGACATCGAGGAGGAGAACTTATCATCCTCATTAAACACTCCCATCACCCACCACCTTACAACACTGCCACAGCTTTTAGCCGTCGAGGCCCTAGCTATCACAGTCACCACACCCACTCACAGTTATCTCCCCCTATGTCCCAGACAAAAAAAGATCTCAAGTGAATATTGTGTGACTTTGAAGTGCTATTCCAACTCAACAGAAAAAACAATAATAGGCGGAGACTTCAGTGCACACCACCGCACATGGAACTGCAGTTTCTCCACATACCTAGGTGCTGTAATTTACCGCTTTGACAATGAGGCAGGAATTACTGTTGCAGCTCCAGATACCCCAACACGCTACAACGACAGATCAGCCAATGTTTTGGATTTCTTCCTTCTCAAAGGCTGCCACTCAAGATTCATTCAAACTCTCAATGAGTTATCCTCTGACCACAACCCTGGTCATGATTAAAGTGGGGACCTCTGTCTGTAGCACACCACACAAAAAAGGCCTTTATTACCAACTGGGCAGGATATGCCAAAGCTTTAAACAATACCACACTACACATTCCAACAGCACACACAGGTGATGAGTTAGATGCACTGGTTACCAGCTTCACCACTGAACTGATAAATGCTCTTGATGGCAATAGCACTCCTGTCTCTCACAGCAAACATGCTACAGACCAAGAACTAAAAAAACTCATCCAAGAAAGAAATGCTGCCTGCAAGTACAGGAATGGCAAAAGTACAGGTATCCTGCGGATAAGACTGTACTTAACTGACTAAACCACCAGGTCAGGGCTCTCACACACCAATATGCACAACGTGACTGGGCCAATTATCTCTCTTCTCTTTCAGCAGAGAAAAGCTCCGTCTGGAAGCCGAATGCAAAATTAAAGAGATGCTACACCAACATTCCGCCCTTAAATGGCTAACAGCAAATTGCCACTACCGAAATTGAGAAAGCTGAGTCACTAGCTGATCACTATGCTTCTCGATTCTGCACAAACAACATCTCCCACCCTCCAACAGAACACTTGGTTAACAGTACACTAACAGAATTCCTCTCAAAGCCACACACGAACAACATTACTCCTGTCAAACCTTCAGAGGTCTATGGCTACATCAAGAAACTACATGTCAACAAGAGTCCAGGACTGGACAAGATCTCAAATAAGATGATCAAGTGTATAGGGATCCTCATGCTACTCAAACTGGTTGCCATTATCAATTAAATGCTTCGCCTGGGCCACTACCCTACACCATGGGAGACAGCCAACATAACCCCAGTTCCAAAGCCTGGAAAGCCACCTTCTTACAGACCCATCAGCCTCCTATCTTCGCTCAGCAAGGTAGCTGAATACATCATTCTACAGAGAGCCCTTGCCTACACCGAGCTTAATAACATCATTATCCCACAGCAGCATGGGTTTCGTAAGAAGTACTCAACTGTCCACCAGCTCTACAGAGTCACTGAAATGATCTCGCGAGGACTTCAGGACTGATGAACTACAGGTGGCATCTTCCTTGATGTAGCTAAAGTCTTTGATCGGGTTTGGCTTGAGGGCCTCCTGTACAAAATCATCACCCTGGGTTTCCCAGTATATCACAGCCATCACCTACTCCTATCTTAAGGATAGACACTTTATCATTCGTGTAAACAACACACACTCTACCCCACGGGCTATCAAGGCTGGTGTCCCGCAAGGGAGCCTCCTTGAGCCCATTTACTATAATATCTACACGAATGATATCCCACAATCACCACACACACCAACTCTGGCAATGTACGCGCCGATGACACAGCAATCCTCTCAAAAAATGTATCTCCTGGCCCGGTTATACAAGCACTTCAAACACACATCCACACACTTGAGTCCTGGCTCAATGCCTGGAAAGTCAAGATCAACGTTGAAAAGTCTGAGGCCATATGGTTCACAAAAAGGACCACCATCAATAATGAAGAATGTATTCATATGTACAACACCCCTATTCAGTGGACTAAGCATGCCCGATACCTTGGAATTACTTTGGATAGGCGACTCAGCTGGACCCCACACATTACACAGATTATTGCCAAGTTCCGTGCCCGTAAACGAACACTTACCCCCTTAATTGGCCGGAATTCAGTTCTCTCTATAGATAACAAATTGCTCATTTACAAGACCCTTTTGCGTCCCATACTCTCTTATGCCTGCCCTGTTTGGGGGTATGCGAGTAATAGATGTACTAATGTAAAGAAGATTCAAGTACTGCAAAACATAATACTTCGACAAGCAGCGAACTGTCGATGGTTCATTAGAAACACGGCAGTTTAAAAGGAGCTTGAGATTCCAAAAATTTATGCTTACTTTGCTCTCCTTTCAGAAAAATTTGACAATAATATACCTAATGTCATCAAAAGCACCATTCCAGTGCCCAACTATGACTACAATACTGTAAGCAATAGAAAACGATCGCTTGCGGTCCTCAGGTATCTTGAATAGTAACTTTCCTGTTAACTATTGTTTCCACCCAACTATTACAATTTAAATATATCTGTACACCTTCTTATACTGATTGTTTTTTTTTTGTGTTGCTGTATTTACTGTACATTCCTGACCTGTATATATTGTATATATTTCATTTTTTTACCTTCCCACTATGTTTTATATTTTATAATATTTTATGCAAATTACCATTGCTATGTCTACTACACACATGAGGACTCTCACTCAGTGAGCTTCAGGCATTTTTTGTTTTATCTCCATGCCATTTGCTTTATCATGCGTACTTACCTTCGTCACGGCCTGCACTGCAGGGGTTGTTTCCGTTGGACTCTGTTATCCTACTATTCCAGTTTCATCATTCTGAACTTTTATTTGCTTTGATACGTTTTTATAAACTGTTCGAAACTTCAAAAAATCGAAAGTTGGAAGCATTATGCTGGGATAGCGACATAACGCAGGGACTTATTTTTGCGAAACTCTTCGTGTTTGCCTAAGCTGACTGGGGCAATGTCATGTTTACTGAAGATTTGCTCTGGAGCCAGATGACAACAGTATAAGGATATGGCATGGACAATGAACATGCAATCAGTCCCAAAACATCACCAAACATCGCATATTCCGAGGCAGAAGCATTATGGTGTTGGCAGGGATTTCATTAGGATACCGCACCGGACCTGCACATCCTTAAACGGGGTTCTTTGATGGCTGTCCGGTATCGAGATGAAGTCCTAGAACACATTGTGAGATTGTACGTTGCAGCAGTTGGCCCTACTTTTGTTTTAATGGACGATAACGCACGTCCCCATAGAGCTGACATCGTCGATGACTACCTGGAGAGTGAAGGGATTGTGCATATGGCGTGGCCAGCATATTCGCCCGACCTTAATACCATTGAAAATCTTTAGGATGTTCTTGGCCATGCTGTATCTTCACGTTTCCCACTTTCAGCCACACTTTTTGAGCTGGAAACTGCTCTACAAGAAGAATGGCGATTGCTTAAATCTGCAGTGGTTGAACACCTAATTGAAAGCATGGTCACAAGGTGTAAACTTTGTATACAGATGAGGGGGGATCACATACCCTATTAATGTCCTTTTTTTCCTTTTATGCTGTTTATTTTCACTTTATACATAATTCTGTTTAAGTCTCCAGTATGTCATTGTCTGATAACTTACAAAAATTTAATATTGTTTTCATTTCTGTATATAATTATTAGTTTTGTTTATGCATAAATATATATGCTACTTTCCTGCCAAATTTTGTGTCAATCAAAGCAGTATTTGTTGATTTTTTTGCATTTTACATCTTCGTGCTTATATTTTGGAAGTGAGTGTATATTTGTTACACTGCATGGAGATCTAGGACTATTTAATACTGGAGAGAATTCTCATCAGAAATATTTTATATCTGACACAAACAGGAGACAGAAAAGTAATGCAAGAAAAGATTATAATACTTAGAAAACTAGATTCATGAAATTGTAGGGGGGAAAAAAAGAAAAAGGAAAATAATTGTGTTTTTTTTTTTTTTTTTTCCCTTGCTAAAAAGTGTAAAATGTTTTCATTGCAAACTGAAGTTGAAATACTTCAATAATTCAGTAATGACGAACTTTTATATACATTAAGTACATAAACAAATGAAAACCTTTCATTGACAAGCTTATCCTTCTTAGGATTTCTTGGTTGCCTTTTCATTATATCGCTTTCAGCATGTTCATAAGCCAATGAGATGGCAGGAACCTAAAATATTAAATGTACATTTTTTATTTACAGATAGCTGACAAAAACAGACAAATGCTCCAATATAAACAGTTAACTATTTTAATAAAAAATAATTGAGATATGTATTTATAGGTTTTTCAAGTTTTAATTATGTTCTCTGGGAAAATTACTTAAAAATGAATTTTTAGCATTTGGACATTCTATCTGCTCAGGTAATAAAACCTGCTTTTAGCAATAGTTAACTTTTTAGAAACACAGGACCTTGCAAGGAGAATTAATAATCTCTTATAAAAGAAGCAAAACATTCCAATTTTAAATTTCAGACTTAGTATGTAATACAGTACAAAGTCTTTAGTCCAGACTTCCATAATCCGAAATGATCTATATAATCCAGACCTCAAAGCTACAAACAAACTTTCTGCGCATGCGTAAACACATAGTGTGTTTACGCATGCGCATAATACCTTTACACATGTGCATATGCATTTACGCATGCGCATTTAATGCGAATTCATACGAACGGTATAAGCTAGGCTAAAATTATCTAATTATCTATTTCAGTTAATGTTGCAGATTGCATTGTTCTTTAATCTTCTAATTGGATCTGGCTTATTATTTTTTGCAGACTGTTAGAGCAATTTTATAAAAAGTAAGCTTGAACTTTCGATTATGTCAAAAAGAGTTTCCGATTCTGGAGCTGCCAAAGGATCTACAAAGCGAAAGCATGTTTCAATGTCCATCAAACAAAAAGGTGGAATTGCTGCAAAAAATGGATAAAGGCATATCCTTTGTTTCTCTAACCATTCTGAAATCTGTTTATCAATTTCACAGTGCTCTGTGGGGGGGGGAACATCACGGCGCTCAATGAACTGGAAGTTGATCTGTCAGCACTATCCTCAACTTCAGGGCAGATGTTTTTATTTTATTCGGCTTATAATTCCTTACTAAATGTAGTATTTCATTTCAGATGTACTCCGTCTTTGATATAAATTAAATCCTCATCATTATAAATATCACGAATACATATCAAATAGTTTTCTAGTTGCAGTTTTCTAATTTCGACTATGCGTAATGTATGCTTATGCATGCACGCATTGAAAGAAATGTTTAATAAAGGAAACAAAGATTAAGCTTTTTTTTTTTTTTTGTAAATTTTGGTACCCTTTAAATTATAATTGCCCTTTATTTCATAAATTACAGTTTCATATTTTTAATTTTATAATTTCTGCATGCCATCTTACCAGATTTAAATTGATGATCTATAATCCGGAAAAACCCTAATCCAGATTCGCTGAAGTCCCGACGAGTCCGGTTTAAAGACTTTGTACTGTATAGGTATTTAATTGCATTCCATAAGTTTACATACAGTTAAACCGATAATTGTTATAATTTTTGACTCAGGAATTGATAACTTAAAACACAGAATTAAATGTAAAATTATACCTTAAAATTCAAAATATTTTTACGATATTTTTAAAACAAGTTATTAACAGAAACTTACCATATCGGTGCCCAAATCAATGCAGAGGATTGTTACGGTACCTAGAGGCAGTGGAACATCAGCCAAGATGAAGACAAGGAAAGGAGTAATCTCAGGAATATTACTGGTTAAAGTGTATGCAATAGACTTCTTTAAGTTGTCAAAAATTAAACGTCCTGTATTAGAAAACAGAGTATATAATAATCATGCCTTTATATTATAATTCTGCCAGTATTAAAAGCACTTATTTTACATGCAAAATTACAAAGGGTTTCTATGAAACTAATTGCCTAATAAAGGTAAAACGACCAAAAGACTAGAAAAGAGGAAGGATAACTGAAGAATAGCAATATGCCTACGAGGCAAACTTGCTTGAAACAGCCATACCCTGTATCATTTGTTAAATAAAATAGATAAAAACCAGGGCTTAATTTCTTAAAAAGAATGAAACGTTATAGAAGGCTGTCAGAAAAACAAAAATAAATGAAAAAATAATGAATATAATCAACAGATAATGAGAAATTTAATACAAATAAAATGTACAGATATATAACTTGATAAATTAATTATAAAAAAATAATGTAGTTAAAATATATCTATTACACATTAAATGAAATAATATAACAAATGGAAGGTGACTGACTAGATTAATGGTAACAAGACATGCTATTCAGAATAAAAGAAAAGCAAAAATTTTGAACAGCATTTCACTTTGTTTGAGAATGCAAGTTCTTCATTCAGTTATGAAAAATCATAACCATAAAAGAAAAAATTTTTTATTTTTTATTTTATGGGTATAATGTTATATTTCATTTCCTGTTACTGATAGTAATATTCAAAATATCAAAATGTTGGATTTAATGTAATTCAGGGCTCTACTAAGCTTTGGTTGGAATTAAATTATTTCTCAAAACTGAATTTATATCTGACGAAGATGAAACGTTTACAAATCATTAGCAAGATTGAAACTGAAATATTAGTTACATTTTTCATTAATCAATATAACAATAGAACAGGCTCCTCTTTGGTACCCCAGGTAACTAGTACAGTTGGCATTCCTCCATAAATATATTATTGTAAATATCTGAAAATATTTAAATTTATTTGATTTCATTTCGTGTTTGCGTGCTGTTTTATTGTTATTTGTCTGCTTGTTACTTTTAAGATAATAGTTTTAGAGTTTATTTTGTTTATAATTGAACTTCGGCCATATGTTTTGTATATAAATGCTTGTTTCTCGCACAGAATTGAATAATGTTTATGATTATTAGTGTATATTGGCATCTAAACAATGCCGTTTTTCTGTTAAATCATACACCACTCAGTTTTATATGTTAATGTATCCATCAAGCATTATACCATTCAAAAAATTCCTTTCTAAGAAAGTTATATTACAGCTTTACACCTAGAGGGAGTGTTTATCATAAAACATTTCAAAAACCTAAATATAAAAAGTTAAAAAATATATACAGTATATGGTTTGTTAGCACAAGTAATAATGAAATTGTGTGTGCTCCAGTGAAATAATTTGTGTCTGAGGTGCAACAAATGTCATCAGAAGAAAGTAAGGACAATATCATTCCACCCACCGCCAGGAAGTGTTACATGCCTTTATCACTTTAGAACATTTTTCTGTAACAACCGTGTGAGGTTTCACTCTTTTATCTAACAGTTAAATGTGGAGGAACCTAATGAGCAGCTAAGAGAATAATCGCTCTAGTTCAAGAACAGAGACGTAAACTCGAGAAGGATTAATTACCCTTTATTTGCTCAAAATAAGATTTAACAGTTGGAGAGTCATAGTCAAAAGGCAAATGAGTGCTAGTCAGAAACTCAGGCTCTCTTTAGAAGTCGGTGGAACTTTGACTTAAGTACTACTCTTACTCATTTGCATTAAATGCAATTCTAAAAACACATTCTGGTAGGAAATTGTAAGCTGAAATTAGGAAGGATAGGAAAGTAGCTTTATGAAAGATAACTGTTAAAAACTTAGAATAAAGTGAACTAACCGAACCTTACAACCGAACTAACCACTAGTTTTGTGAAAAACATGGATACAAATTTATCATGAAGTTGTCATGCATTTTCATTTTTGTCTGGGACAGCACAATAAACAGGTATTTTTCACCAGCAAATGATTAGGGAGTACAATTTTGCAAGTACAGTAATTAATGTAGTACTGTAGTGTTTTCTAGACTGATATACATAATATACTGTTTTAATTATATATGTATTTATATACTGTAAATATTTAGGGCGAGGGTAAAAAACATTCCAAAAATAAAATTTATTCCTCAGTTAACCTGATTTTTTTTAACTTGAACTCTTGATTTTTCAATCAGTTGGGATTCATGTTAATGAGAGTACACTGTATAATAAAACATTTAAAAATTATATTATGTGTGCCAGTAACATAAGATATAACAGTATGAACATTTTTTATTATGTATAACAGAGATTCATAAAATTATCATTCATAAAATTATAAGATAAATATACGGGGTGTTTTTTTTCTTAAACTGACAGTACTTGGAGACCTCTGTAGCTTGAACTATCAGCCTCAAAGCCATGAAATTTTGTACGGGGATTATTGAGAACATGGGAAAAAGGAATCCGTGAAAAAAGAAAATTTAGTTCCAAAAGTTGCCGATAGGGGGGAATATGTTGCTTTTGATCTAAATTTTAAGTTTAACTGCACGATAAAATTTCTGACCACTTTAAAAAGTTACAGTAAATAGATAAATGAATAACAAAATTAATTTTTCCACAAATTTGCTTTATTCTAAAAAATAACTTTTGCATTTTGCAATTTTCCCCCACGTTTTATGCAAAATTTTAGCTGTCTTAAAGTGTAAAGCGCCCCATTTTCCCCTATCGGCAACTTTTGAAACTAATTTTTTTTTTAAGATTCCTTTTCCCATATCATCAAATAGTCTACGTACAAAATTTCATGGCTTTGCAGCTGATCATTAAAGCTACAGAGGTCTCCGAGTTCCGTCGGTTTAAAAAACAACACCCTGTATTTTAATTTGCATGACTTAGATACATTATTTAAATAACAGAATTAAAACTGTCACTCTTCAGCCAGCTAAGCCACATAATTTGTATATAATGTATTCAATAATATTTTTTAATACTTAGTTAAGTACATATATATGCTCATGAAATGCAACCAAACTATTAAGGCAACAATTTAGAAGAAAAAGAATCCAGTTAAAAAAATCACAATTCTTTGTCCATTTCTGACTGAGGAATTTTGTTTTGCCAGAGCACAAATTTACAAGACAGAAGAGAAACACACCCCAAGTAAATCATAAAAAGTGAACCAACAACCTGTGTTAGACGTAGATTTTTGGCACAAAAATTCTATGGATTTCTAGGGCGAACAAAGTCCTCTTCATCAAGAGCAAAGAAATCTGCAACTGAAAAACCAAGTTACGAACATATTCATACTCTAAGAAGTCGAGAGAGTAGCGCCATCTGTTGGTAGAAATAATAATGAAAATTGAAAAATTAGGATGATAGAGATTTAAAAGCGTTAAGCTAGGACTGGATTAAAATCATTAACTAAACTAACTTTCAATTATTAGGGAATTTAAAGCATATCTTGTCAGTGTGATTCGAGATATATTGATCAAACTGTAAGCATAAATTTAGGTATTTTTGCATAATGAAACTCAAAAGCATAAAAAAAGGCATGTGCGCCAAAATATATTGGCGAGAGAAAGCGAACGTCGGGGGCATTCAATTCTCACTTGTATCAGGGACAAAGGTTTAATTCAGTTAGTGCTTTCTCTTTCAGGTACTGTGCTAAAGTACATTTCTGTTTTCTTTTTTTATTGCCTAAATACGTAAGTCTGATGATAATAGGATTGATGATGATTCTTTGTAAGTTATTCTTTTCAATACTTAAATTTTTAATGTCTGTGAAGATTGTTATTTTAATTGGTGTTCTTCTTAAGCAGAATTCTCATACTTTTTAAATAATGATTTTGTAGTTATTTTGACTTATGAGTCTTTGATTAAAACTGCGCTAAATAAAGTAAACTTACTCAATACGCCTTACGTGCTAATGCACAATACAACAGCTGATTATGAGACTGAGTAAGTTAATAAGTTTGAGAAAATTCCCATGTGGAAATGCTTCTAAAAATTTAAATTCTAGAATTGAAGTGTTGTAAAATTCCAGGTAAAGTATTAAAACTTGTTGTTGAAAGTACTAGTTACAAAGTTTAAAAGAATAACTGTAACGAATAATTATGTCTTTCTAAAAGAATCAGTTTATATAGAGAAGATAACTGATGAAAATTATTCAGACTGAAAAATTAAAATAGAACAGCTTCTAATAAAAGAAGGTTTGGATGCTGTTGTATTCCAAGGAAAATTGGAAACTGTTTCTGATACTTGGTTGAAAAATGAGCATAAAAATAAATCTTTAATATACCTAAACATTTCAGATTCGCAAATTATCCCCATTTTGCATAGTAAATCTGCAAAAGAAGTATGGCAGAAGTTAAAATGTGTTCATGAACGTGTAAATTTAACAAACAAGTTATTTCTTCATCAAAAATTATATTCTATTAGATATAATGAAAGTTCTAAAATGCAGGTACATATCAAAGAAGTACTAGAATTGGCTGAAAAGCTGCGTAGTATAAGTGAAGATATTAAAGAAAATAACTTAATAGCAATATTACTATGTTCTTTACCAAATTCACACAACTCGCTAATAACCACAATTGAAAGTAAATCGGAAGCCAAATTGTCAATAGAATATGTTAAAAATAAATTAATAGATGAGTATTGTAGACGTGTGGAAACTAAGCAAGTTCAAAATACGACTCAATTGCTTTAAAAGGTAAAAGCGAAAATAAATCAAAGCATTGTGTTACAGATGTAAATAACAGTAAAGTAAGAAATTACTCTCTAAATTATAAAAAAAATAATGCATGCTAAATAGCAAATACGCAAAGTGTAGAAAACATAAAAACAAAAGAATTTAAAGAAAATAAGTATCTTAAAAGTATTGAAACTGGAAATTCACAAGCTCAGTTTAATCAAGTTGTTCAATCTATTATGAATAAAGGTTGTATTGTTACATTTGATAGTAATAAGTGTTACATAAAGCGTAACAATGTACTCGTAACCCACGGCAATGCTGAACAAGGTTTATATAAATCGACTGCGAGCTAAATTCAGGAGAAAGCATACTTAGCTAATGCTATTTCATGATCCAATACAAACTGCATACAAAAATAGCATCAAAATTTAAGCCACAGAAATATAGATGCGATAAAAACACTTGAGAAAAATGATTTGGCAGATGGCATTAAACTTAGTAAATGCACTCATAGTGTTCAATGTTCTACTTGCATAAAAGCAAAACAGAGAAATTTATTCAAAAACGGGTTTTAGATATAAAAATCCACTAAATTTAGTGCACACAGATGTATGGGGGGCTAACTGAAGTTAACAGCTTAGGAGGGAAAAAATATTTTGTAACTTACCTTGATGACTATACTCAGATTAATTTTATTGCTTCATAGCGTGAAGTATTCGAAACTTAAAACAGTATGTTGCATTGACAACAAATAAATCAGATCTGACAATGATACCGAGTACTGTAATGAAACTACTGAAAATTACTTAAAGAACCTTGGTATTTTTCATCACTCTGATAGTCTACAACAAATCACTTACTTGATAAGAATTATAGATGTTTGGAAACCAAACACAAGCATGTAATAATAATAATAGATATTGTACAACATTTTTTGTGAAATGTTCAAATTTGCGTGATTGCACTGCATAAAAGAGGGCATTACTTTTGCTAAATCCTATATGTGGGACATTTTTTTTATACTGTTGCATTTTTATTAATGTATGATAACTCAATGGAAATCAATACAATGCAATATTTTTGTTGCAGTTAATTCAATATAAAATATCTCCGAATTTCAGAGCAGTTATATGTGCGACTTATATACAATAGGGCAATTCTTTACAATTAAAATAGCATTCAAAACCAATATGCAGTATCTAACAGCTTATTTTTTAAATATTTGTTAGTCTAGCTAAAGACTTTTAATCATCTTTTTTAACTTCTATAAGCTAGTTCAATTAGTCTACGAGGTCGTATTATGAAGCATTCCCATAAGGGCTTTGCAAGAGAAACTGATTAAGTATTTTATCTAAATGTTCTAACTGTTCAATGCTAACCTGGGGGTAAGGACTGACCAATCACAGTAAAGGAAACATGAACTCCCATTCAATTGACAACACCGAGTCAACTACACATTCTTGCATGCACAACTTTACTTCTCTGGTTAGACCCTTTTCCACAGTTGTGAGTGTCATCAAAAATTTTTCACCTTTGAGGTGTAACTAGGGTCACGATTCATTGTGGATTTTCCAGGACAGTCCCAGATTCCAGCACTCTGTCCTACATGTATATGAATCCCAGAAAATGTCTCGGATTCAAAGATTTATCAAAAGAAATTTAGTTTCTGGTGACATGGTAGGGATCAATGAATGACAGCAGAGCCTAACAGTTCTTCATTTTCTCACGAATAACTGGTAAAATCCAAGGTCACTTTTATAGTTACACAGTTTGAACAGAAAAACTGAAGGAATTTTACGCTGATGCAGAGGTAGAATTCAAGCAATTACTAAGGATATCCAATCCAAAACAAGATGTCTAGCTCTACTATCCACAGCTAAAAGAGTGTTACAGTTATTTAATACTTTAAAATCATATTTTCTTTCAATTGTTAAGTGTACGATGTTTTGAAAAAATTCTTTTTAAATGAACAAGCCAAACCTTGGCTTTAGTTCCTCTAAACACAAGTATTAATGTTTCATAATTCAATAAAAAGAATTGAAGGAGAGGAACGAATAATTGTCAGAATTTTGGAAGAAATAATGGTCTTATTTCTAAGTTTAAAAAAAAAATCGATTCTACATTTCTACAGACAAGTTAAAACACTATTTTAAGCAATATAATTGAAATTGGAAATATAGACTAAAAATTGTTTAGTAATCACATTATAATCTTGGATACGAATATTGTTTCTTATCCAGGATTATGGGGTGAACAGTTTGGGGAAATTACTTATCTTAAATGAATTAATTAGAAATAGATTGAATGAAAATAGGTGAAACAATATTTTCATGATAAACTATTTGCCTGGAAATGAAAATAAGGTACTGGAAAATGAATTATTTGATGAAATATCATATTTGAAAAGATATGTAAACTTTGAAAACTTCAACAAAGGAATAATGACAAAATACCCACCAATAAGCATTGGGATACAATTTTAATTATTTAAAAGAAAATCATATTCATTGAATGTATCTTACAACAGCTATAGAATGTGCATTTTATTTACCTGATATCATTGCAGCTAATGAAAGGGTGTTTTCTATTATAAATAATTTGTGGACAACTGAAAAATCATAGCTGAATGTTGATGCCATGAAGGCAATACTTATAACTAAAGGCAATTTTTAGTGCAATACGTGTGAAGAATTCAAAGAACAAATTGAAATTAGGATGAACTACTTAAAAAAAAGGTTTATTTTGTTTCATAATCATTCCTATGAATTATTTACACTTTAATTTTTGTTACTGTACTTTTTTACCATTTTTTTAAAATTTATTGATCAAAATATTTTTGGTTGATTTGGAGGAGGGTAAGCAATGTCTCATTGGCCCACAGAAAACATAGTCACTATACTTATGACAATAATGACAAACAGATCACCATATGAAAACTCCATTATAAGCCCATTAGGTTTTTTTAAGCTAATAAATATTCTAGCAGTTTTCACTAATCTGCATTACCTTTACACAAATAAAAGATCCAATAAAAATTGATTAAATTCATCAGCTGAACAATGAATCAGCTATTCATCAAGATGAATACTTATTAACAAAATATGATTCCTTTGCCTTGTCATTTACCTGATTAAACTGCTTTCTTGCTGATCAAATTCAGATAGCTTTATTCTTTTTAACTTACTGTCAATTGGTATGCAGTAAATTAAAACTAGATATAAATATATCCTTTTAAAAAGTGTTAAAAAATTCTCTCCAGAATCATTAACATCCAATAACTGAACACTTTTAATGTTTGTTTTGTGCTATTTATTTTTCTTTTAAGGGTACAGAAAATGTGGAAACTTGTTTTACTGGTAAGTAGATTTCAAAAACTTACACCACAGAATGAATTTGGCTCTTGAGAGGTTAATAGGTAATACAGGAATAGTTCAAAACTTAACTTTCAAGTTAATTGTGAAAGAATATTTCGCAAGCATATAAAATTTGGTGAATCAATGAAATTTGGTGCCAAGGATTGCCTTAAATGTATCAAAAACAAAGATTTAAGAATTATTTTTAATATACTCACTCTCTTCAATTAATATGATGTGAAATTAATGTAGATTTAGGTTTACTATAGATATTGCATATACAAGTGACTTTATGTGACAAGTTACATACTTTTAAGAATTTCTTGTATTAAAACTAAAAACTCAAAACAAATGACTTTGCATAATTACAATAGAATGTTAAGTTTATAGCAGTATAAAACTTTGATTGGTTTTTCAGATTTATTTTACCTTCTTCCACACCAGTAACAATAGAAGCAAAATTGTCATCTAGTAGAATCATATCAGCTGCTTGTTTACTGACATCACTTCCAGCAATACCCATGGCAACACCTGCAATAAATACCCAAACTTAAAGAAAACATTTTGGCAAATAAATATGAAATCAGTGCCAGTTCAAAGGGGAGCTTACTCATATATGATGAGATACTGAAATCAACTTTCACAGGAAAACACATAATATATAAATAGCCATGGAGAAAATACTTATATGAAATGATGTACCTAAGAATTTTATTATTATTGGTACTTCATTTAGTATCATTTAAATAGTGCTCACTATTAATTTCTAAAAATGAAAAATACAGATGAAAATGGTTAAATTTACTTTAGTACTTTTCTTAATTAATATACTGAAATATAATGCTTAATGATACCCACAGTTCATAAATTCTCTAAAACTAAATAACATGCTGAAAAAGATGCATCAATTATATAATTGATTCAATTAACCCCTTGACTACATTTGATGTATCAGTATGTCATGCATTTGTTTGGGCAAAGACGTACATGACATTCTCATATGTCATCTGATACGACAACACCCAATTAGGATACTACCTGGCAGTGCACAGAATGCAGAGTACCACTGCATTTACCAACCTGTTTAGAAAAGTATCACACGCTTCAAAACTATTGACAATTTGCTAATTATTATAACCAGAGTTTGTTTGTTTAAAAGTATTGTGTAATACTAACTGCCTAAATTTATTTCAATATTATGTAGAAGTATATATAAGGGATAATACGGAATAAATTAATTCTTGCATAAAATCTATTGTTCTTGCTTGCCCACAAAATTAAATGTGCTCCAAGTGCAAAAAACTTTTCAAATAAATGTGTACCCAAAGGGTTAATGAATAATAAAATAAAAAGAGTATTTCAAGTCATCTACCAAGCAGAATAAAATCTTACTAATACAACCTAATTGAAATCGTATTTCTAATTTAAAACTGCTATAAGAACATTTCAAAGACTTATTTTATAATTGACATGATTATGACTGTTGAAATTTTTGACCAAGAAAAATTTCCACAAATGCCAGTTCTGTTTATTTTAAGTATAATATTATTTGCATTTATATGTTTATTATGTAGCCTACATGATCTGCTAATGCCTCAAAGGTTAAAGGTATATTATTTATAAGAGCTTGGGCATTTCTTTGAAAGAATCATGGCTAAAACCGATCAAACCAAGCTTTCTTTTAAGTGCTGGTAAATTGCTGCAGGTTTTCCAAAATAAATGAATAAATTATGACTGGTTCCCAATTTCTACACATTTTGGTGACAAACTTATGCTTTTAGTTCACTTTACAAGCACAGAAATGATTGAGATAAGATCTTCGGATAACTCCATATGCAAGCTCTTTCATCTATATGTCTTAAAACTAGTCTTAAAACTTCACAACAGAGGTTGACAATTGAAGACTTCTGCAGCACATATGCAAGCAGCTCGGCCTCCGCACCATTGCTGCACATTGAAAAAATGTAATAAAAACTGAAACAAGGTTTCCCCCCCATCTGTGTGTCCCACACAGTAAAAACCTCTTGATGCTGACAAAGGCTCACCTTCTGGCACTAATACCATGGAGGACATAGTGGGTTTTGAAATGCTACTGAAAGCACGAGATAAGATTTAATGCATGCCAAATAAAAGAGAGAGCCATTGTACGGCAGAGGCTCCCAGCACATTACCAAGGTGTATGCTATCACTGGCAGATTTGAGTTGCATACAGCTCGAATGTTCTATGAACATAAGGAAGCTGCCTGGTTGATCCTGTCAGTAGTCATATGTTTGTCTCAAAGATTAAACCACGCATGTCTAAGTACATGCGGCTTGAACGTATGGGCTCATTCCCCACAACATAGCTTTCAAGTGTCTGCCTTATCAACTGTCGATGGTAGGATATGCGCCTACGGTTGACAGGGCGCATAGCCTGTAACGGGCGACAGGGAATCAGGAATCCAGAAAGGGAGACTGAGAAAGGACTACCAAATCCAAGGAAGGCAGCAGGTGCACAAATTACCCATTCCCAGAAATTGTGTGCTTGTACTAAATAATAAATAACTGCTGCACCTGTAATGATAAAAGCAAATCATTGTCCAATAATCTGTACTGTGTTAATCTCCAAAATGCTTTGGTAGACATCACAGTTTTAAAATTGAGAAGGATTATAAGGCCAAGTCTAAATCATGAAATATAGTCCAAAGCATTACACATTTCACTGTGTAAACAACTCTCCTACAAATACTGTTCATAAAGAAGCCCACACATAATTAGAATGTTAGTGATGATATCAAAGTATCACAATAAACAGTACATCAAAATCCCCTGAAAATGAGATTGCATAATCCCAGGTCTTTTTTTAGTAACCTCAGTTTGCCTTGAAAGTTTGCAAGGTAAGCAAAGTGAATATTAAAACTTTAATGATTGAAAAAGGCCTCTTTGCATACAATTGTGTTATATCTACATGTGTTTAGTATCAAAGAACTTTTTCCTATTGCATATAAAGATATAAACGTTTTGCCTCAGTTAAAAAATGGCACCACAAACCAGTGGGAAACGATAAATTCTGAAGAAAGAGAAACACATTTTTGCAATAGCATTCCATCAGAAAACCCAAGTCTTTTATTTGTCACTGTTTACAAAATCATTTCTGACAAGCCATTTTTTACAGCAATAATATTCTATATGAAATGCTTTTTTTTAGCTGGCTAACGCCCGATGATTTAACAATAATTTACAAAATATGAGGCGAAGTTTCAATCTTAAAATTTCTTACACTCAGAATTAGTTGAATAGCTTTGGTATGATTCAAACAGCAAATACAGTTTGTCTTGAATAAACTGCATACAGTTATTTAAAGGAATCAGAGGATCTTCTAACAACAGCATGTTTGCACCAGATATCACAACAAACATTTAAGAATTATGTACTATGGAAAATCAAGATCATATCAGACATGTCATTATATAATTCTGGCCTTTCAGTAAGGTTACACAAGATTAAACCACCCTACCTGTAAGCACAGTCTCCGTCCCGTTCCGAAAGGAGAAGAATCTCGAAGGAATATCTCTGGGTAACTATGGGAAAATATCAGTTTGAATACCAGCAGCAATCATTCCTGTTATTTAAATTTCTCTACTTCCATTAGCTTTTTTTCATCCTTAGATCATTTTTATCCTTACATAGAGTATTTGAACTTTAAATCACCATAAAGATTATTTAACATTAAGATAGAATCAATGGACAGAAATACGGAAAAGTATATCTCGGTTATACACTGCCTTCCAAAAGTTAAGCAACAGCATGTTTTTTTGTGTCTAATTTGAGAATGAAGCAGCACAGAAACCACAAACTTGCAGGACATGTTCACTAAACAGTCCTTTAATGAATGTGACATAGAATGTTTCTAAAGTTCAACACAAACATGAATTACAATAAAAAATTGCATTCTTGGCAGAGAAATCCAGTCTTGAAGAAACAGTAGATCACAGTGTTTTGAGGAAAAATGGGGTGGTAACATTACAAAAATGGGTTCTAATAAGGAATGTGTTCACCCCTAACTGCAAAACATTGGCAGCAGGAATGTTCCATGCGGTAACTTAAGTTGTTGGTCAGTGATAATCCTTGTTCAAGCTCCAACAACCTTGGAGTCCTAACACCCTTGGAGGAGAACTTAAAGCAGCAACCTGTCTCCCAAGGTAGTCCCAAAGATGCTCTATCGGATTCAGGTCTGGGAATTGAAATGGCCATTTCATCCACTCCATACTGTGACCCTCAAGATATACTTCAGCATACCGAGCTTGGTGTGGACGTGCATTGTCGTCCAGCATAAGAAATCCAGGACCATACAGCTGTCGAACGCACGCTCCGCTCTTGGGGAATGGATTGAGCCTTCAGACCAACGAGAATTAAAAAAGAAGGTTTCTTTTTGAGAACTGGCAACGATGAGTGTATGCTTTTAGAATAATGACGCTTTTAGATATGAATAAGAATGATGCTAAGTAGTTAGAAGTCTTTTTTGATGTTGTAATGATTTCAAAATTGTTTCTCTTTTGTGTAAAATGTCAAATAAAGTGATTCATATAAAATAGTGCCAATTTTAGATGAATTTGAAACCAAATCGGAGTCTACAAAAGCGGAGGAGCAGAATCGAAGAACGCGGATCATAAAGGTATCTTCATTTGCTTATCTAGAATTTTGAATGATCTGTTTTTTACTGAATTGAAGTGATAGCAGCGGCATATGGGAGGACACATTGATCAAGGATCTTGTCTTAATATCTCACACTGGTCAAAGTTCATCCATGGAACACATGCAGATCAGTGTGACCAAGGAGAGAGAATCCAGCCAAAACCATTCACCTCTTTAACTGTGTCTTTCTACAATGTGGTATTGGTTGTATCTGGTGTGTTGCTCCTTGGTGCATTCAGCTGATGACCTGAATCAGTCTCCAATGTGAACCTGGACTCGTCTGTGAAGAGAACAGATGCTCATTGTTGACTGGTCTAGAAGATAGATTCTCTTGCCCAACATAAATGGGCACCTCTGTGTCCTCGAGTCGAGGGGACACAAACAACTGGTTGTCTTGCTTACAAACCTGTATTGTGCAGGTGCCTGCGCACTTTAGTAGCTGAGATTCTTGTTCCTGTTACCACTATATGATCTGCCATGAGGTGAGGCACAGTAATGTTACTCCTCCTTTGGGCCAAAAGAGCTAAATAACGGTCTTCTGCAGGTGTTTTAACTATAGGTCTGGTTAGAACATGTCTTCTAGACACAGAATCCTCTTCAAACTGATTCCACAGTCGGTGAACCAAACTACGAGACACAGTGAGACATCTAGCAGCATCAGCTTGTGACATGCCCATTTCCATCCATTGGATTGCCCGCACTTTCAACGAATCGGGCCAATGACTTTTTCTGGATATTGATACTCTCCAGGATATTGTCAACAAAACTTCTAATAAAAACTAAAGATCAATACGCCTGAACAAAACTTACAATTTTTACATTTTTTTCTGCAACTCTATATAAGTAGTCATTTCTATAAAATAAATGTGGTAGCTACTGTTTTTGCATATACATTCTTAAACTTCGTTACTATCATGCTTACAAACTATGAACTTAAATGTTACTGACATTTTTGAAATGGTGAGGTTTGGAAAACATGTTGTTCCTTAACTTTTGAAGGGCAATGTATTTTAAGAGCAAAAAAAGAAATAAATATGAACCCATGACCAGAATGTAATAACCAGGAAAACTATTCATTCCCGCATACTAAATTAAGCTAAAAGTGAAGAGCATGCTGCAGAATTGCACAAAAAGTGTCATAAAAGTAACATCTGTCCCTCTATGAAAGATTTTCGGAGAAGAAATGGCTAGTATTTATGAAAAATGATATGAACCCCTCATGGAAGAAATGCTGGTTTAAGAAGAATTAGGAAAAAGTCAAAAACATCTCATCACAATATAAACAGCAAGTTTGATGCAAATATAATTTACTGTTCTAATGGTGAAATGCTTTATTTATCTGGTAAAGAGAAAATAACTGTAGCATTTGCAGGTAAATCCTGAAACTGTTCGAAACAAAATTTTGGTCATATTAACGTGCTATTTTTCCCCATGATAAAAACCGGAAATCATATAATTTCAGTCCCACTCTAATGCATAAAAATAGAGTTTTAATTTCCAAATAAATCATTTTGAAATTTCCTTGTTTTACATAAAAAATACATAAGTAACGAGACTTACACATACACATGTCAAGTCAGTTAACATTATTATCTGCAAGATTATATTTATGCATAGTTTCTCTGCTCACCAATATCAGCTTTTTTTAGTGCAGGAGAATCATTGACACCATCACCAGTAACTGCTACAATAGCTCCTTGTCTCTGGCAGCCTTCTACAATAATTAGCTTTTGTTGGGGAGAAGTGCGGGCAAATACAATTTCTGTATGTTCTCTTAAGAGTTCATCAAGTTCCTCTGATGTCATTTCTCTGAGTTGTCCTCCATGAACTACTGCAGCTTTTGCATCCCTAGAGTATGAAAAGGATACACACAGAAAATAGCATGAAAAACAAAACATATAAATTATGTACAGTTTTAATATTATTATTCACAAATTACACAACATACTCAATGAATTGTGTTCTATTCATTTGCTATAGCTATATCACTATTTTAAAATTACTAAAATATAAAATAGCAGTTTGAGGAATATTAGAGTTACTGTGGGCTAATTTACCTTGGATCAACTTCTTCAATAGGTATATCAAGTCTCATAGCAATATCTTCCACAGTTTCATTTCCCTCAGATATGATACCTACTGATTTGGCTATAGCTGCAGCAGTGATTGGATGATCACCAGTCACCATAATTACCTAAAGATGGATATCAAGTATAATTTTATCAAAATTACACAGGTGATAAAATTCAATAGCTTTAAATTCAAAGACAACTTAAGGGTCATGAAAATTTATATTGGAGTCGCAAGATACATAAAAATCCTAAAAAGTTTGAATTGAGAATATATAACTAACGTTCAACGCTCTGATTAGGGTCACAAATTGTTCTTTGGGATCATTTGCCTTTTTAATGGGGTCACATTGCTTTAAAGTTTGAATACCACTATTCTAGGATAATTAACTCAATGTAAATCGTTTTGCATAAACTTTCTTAAGCACTAAATTGAAAATATGACAAATAATAATTCTACATATAATCTAAAAATCATGCATTTTAGACAGGCACAAAATCAGTCATCTAATCAGACACCTTATAATCTTAACAGTCACAATGACTGTTACTCTACAATTTTCTGATTCCCCCTCACATTAAAATTCAATACTTTGAAAGGTTTGAAGTACTTAAAGTTATGTACCTGGAATGCTAATGGCATTATGTGTAAATATCACGTATTTCGTGATTATGTCGAAGAGAAGGGCTTTGCCATTCTCTTTGTCCAAGAGATCAGATTCCAGCCAGGGAGAGTTCTCAAACTTGCGAATTATTTTACTTATAAAAATGACAAACAAGCACCGGATCATTGTGCCGTTTATCATCTTTATTAAAAATCACATTCCCCATCGCAGAATTGACACACCGAGTCTGAGCAAACTCGAGGCGACGATTATCGAAATTTTATTCAAAATTCACCTTCCTTAGTTTTGATCTTTGCGTATCTTCCATCTTTATCCAGAACAAGAGACAAACTTCCTGGGAGGATTTTAACAAACTGCTCAATTTATCAACCAATATCATTATCGCTGGTGATTTAAATTGTCACCACCAGGCTCGGTAAGGCTCCTATCATTATCGCTGGTGATTTAAATTGTCACCCCCAGGCTTGGTAAGGCTCCTATATACTAGAGGAGCCTTAAAGGCTTGGCGTTGTAAAAATTCCAACACTGCTGGTCACGGCCTTCTAAAATGGGCTCAGTGGGCCCAATTTAAAATTATTCCGCCGGATTCACCCCCACGATACGATGTATGGGGAGCTCCTTCTTATATTGATTTGGCTCTTTTTCGAAATATTCCTTTTGACTATCACGTGATGGAAAACTTGTCTATCCTCAGATCACAATCTCGTACTCATCGACCTTAACTGTAATTCTTTTAATCAAGATTTTCTGGCACTCGTCTCTACAAATTGGGCCTATTTTCGATAAAAACTTAACAGTAAAAATTTTCCCTCCCTCGAAATTAAATTCAGTGATAATATTGACAAGGCTGTTGATCAGTTAACTTCTATCCTAGCAGATACTTTTAAAGAAGTATCAAAACCCACCCTTTGCCCCAATTTAAAAAAAACTTCCAGCTGAAATCAAACTCAAAATTCGCGAAAAGAATAAAGTACGAAGGCTTTGGCAAAGAATTAGAAGTTCTGACTTAAAATTACTTCCAGACTTAAAATTACTTACAGATAACAGTCTTTGGCGTGCATCTGCTAGACTTTGCAAACACAAATCTCACATTCTGTCCTTAGCTAAGGACGCAGTGGTGGCTCATACAGACACGGAGAAAGATGAATTAATTGCAGACATTGTCCAAACACAATTCACACCACATAATGAAGGGATTCTTACTAATGTCACAAATTCCTTCCAACTAGATGTTGAAAGTTTTCTAAACTCTTCATGTCAGAGAGACATACAATATACAACCATGCACGAAGTTAGCGAATATATCGCTAAATTAAATCCTAAGAAAGCGCCCGGATTGGACTCACGGGTATTATTATCAAGCTCATGCGACTTGGTATTCCGGCTCAACTCATTCACATAATTAACTCGTATGTCACTAATCGTTCTTTCTCAGTACGAGTTAATTCTATCCTTTCGGCTCCCCGTCCAATTTTAAGTGGCGTAGCTCAAGGTAGACTACTTGGACCGACTATATGCAACATCTTTATCAACGACATTCCAAAATCACCTAGTGTTACTCTAGCACTCTATGCAGATGACACGGCCATCCTAACAAAACACAAACATTTGAATGTTCTGGTTCGCAATCTTCAGAGTTATCTCCATAGCTTTGAGCACTGGCTCATTACTTGGAAAATCAAAGTTAACGTCGCTAAATGTGCTGCCATGATATTCACACGCTCCCGAATCCCGTACCCTACCATTAATTTAAAGTTCTTCGATGACTATGTCCCTGGCCAAATTCATATAAGTATCTAAGAGTGATACTTGATTCCAAATTAATCTGGCGTCTTTATATTGATTATACACTCAATAGAGAGAAGACCCTCAGAACCCAACTTTACATACTTCTAGGCCGAAAGAGCCCTCTGTCAATCAAAAACAAAGCTCTTCGCTATACTTCCATCATTCGACCAATATTTTTGTATGCTTGCACCATCTGCGGGTACAGCTGCAAAAACATACATGAAAAAACTTCAAGGCTTTCAAAGTAAGACCCTGCGTTTAGTCCTTTAGCCTATTATGTCCGTACTGATGTGATTCATTCGGATCTTAACAGTAAACCCATAGACGTTGTTATTAAAAAACGTAGTCAAAATTTATTCCTTAAAATTGAACAGATTGATAACCGTGCACTCCAACAGTTACCACCTACGATCCTGCTATTTGCAGGTCGCAGAAAAGACCTCTCTCCATAATGGGACGCAAGTACGGCATCTATCTTCCAGCTGAAAGTCGTAGACACGCCCCTCTCTTCTCAGCATTCGGGAGGTGGATTTCATATGTGAAGGTTCCCTGTCTCTTATACTCTGACTTGACCTGTGCCACGTGAGAGATCTCAAGTTCAACTCGGAGCGTGAAGGAGCTTCAGCCCCTCGCTCTGTTTTTCGCTGCACTTTAATTTGAGTACTTCTTTTTGCTGTTAGGGGCTAATAGTAGGTTGGTGCTTTGGTCCCGGCTACGAGCATCGTAAAACGAACGAACCTAACAGCACGGCCACGTGCCTGTTGTTTCTACGACCTCTGCTCTTTACCGATTGAACAATGATGGAAAAGCTCGTTGATTTTCTCGGAGTGCTAACCATGGAGAACGAAGTGAGACCTGATAACAAGCCACTCACTGATTAGGAGCGTATGGAACAACGAGTACTTCGCGGTTTCAGAGTCACACTCCAGAAAATGACTCTCCAAGGGATCTGAAAACACTGACGCTAAGAAAAATATACCTGCCAGGGACCAACCAGAACCTGAACAATCTATGGCCAACTTAGCTGCGGAAGCTATGACAGTGGATGAGACACGGACTAGTAGTAAACGCCCGCTCAGTCCCACCATTGAATTCAATATTACAGTCGCTAAAATAAGAGATTTTCCTTCTCTGAAGAAGAAACTCCACTGGACATGGACAGTTCGGACGATGGAAATAACACAGAAATTAAGCAATCTATCCGGAAAACTAGACCAACGCACGGGAAACGCCATACCCCGGCTATAAACCCAAAAAGTAAAGAAAAATCTGTGACTCTTGTCCCTCAGGAAGAGAAACCTCTGAATCCCGACCCTCAGGAAGAAAACCCACACGGTTCGTCTGCCATGATCGACACTGCCTCTCAAAAACCAATCAGCGAGACTGGTCAGAAACCTGCACAGAAAGCGTAGGATGACGGACAGCTGTCTCCACCGCAGACACAATATGCAGGAAAATCCTCAAAGAAAACTCCGATCATAGTTAAAGACAACCGATACACCTGGTATGACTTGATGAAAATACTCAAGTCACACAATTTGAGTGAGAACGAATACAAAGCTGAAATGATTAGAGATGGGATTAAAATACTAGTGCCAAACCCCATCATTTACAAACAAATGGCAAAAATACTCAGAGATAAAGGAGTTTACTTTAACTCATTCCCGTTACCCAAAAGTAAAAATATAAAAATGGTTATTCGAAGCTTACCCAACTACATCAAGACAGAAGATATACAGAACGAGCTAATTGAACTCGGGTTCAAAGTAGAATCTGTACATCAGCTCACAAGAAGGAGAAATGGTGATATAACTAAGCTCCTGCTCTTCCTTGTAACCCTTCCAAGGACTGAGAAATCTAAAGAACTTAATCAAGTGGAATACCTCCTTCAGATGAGAATTAAAGTCGAGCCCTACAAAGGACGTAAGGGACCCCTACAATGTTACAGATGTCACGGGTTCCACCACACCCAGACGAACTGTAACCATGAATCGAGATGTGTCCGATGCGGACGAAAACATGAAACGTCGCAGTGTGAAAAGAACGGCACTTCTCCAACCTGTGCAAATTGTCAAAAAGCACATACAGCCAACTTCCGTGGGTGTGAGAAGTTTCCAAAACTAAAGGACACTCCAAAAAACAGGCCCTACGTAGACAGATTTGTGACAAACAAATCTTATGCAAGCGCTGTATCAGAAGGACTTCCTTTCAAAAAAAATTACTAAGGCCAAACAGGTTTTAAAAGGCCTTACGGATCTGCTCTCGACAATCCAAGAATTGGAAATTCTTAGCATCAACTTAATTATGAAAACAGATTCAGGTGAAGACTCGGCCCGTACAGAAAATAATGGACCAGCTCACAATTAGATGTGACCCGATCCGCATCATGATATGGAACGCTTGTGGTTTGCACAGCAGAGTTCAAGAGCTGCAAAACTTCTTTATAGATTATGATATAGACATAGGAATAATTACCGAGACACATGCTTCCGCTGGACAGAGACTGGCAATCCCAAACTATGTGTCTTACAGATGCGACCGAATCACGCACCGCGGCGGAGGAGTACTCATCTATGTTAAGAGGTGCTACCAATCCTGTTTAATTAATGTTAAACGGGAACAAGGACTGGAAATTGTTACTTACTTGTGTCACTCTCCCTTCCTTCAACAAACGTCTACTTTCGTGCTGTATACAATGCGCCTAAAAGCAA